AGATCACTTAGATAATAAAACTAGCAATGTTTAAAGACTGTAACAGTGAATCACATTTACTCAATAGACACATTAAAAAGTCATTACCTTTTTCTAGCAATTTATTCCAGCATCAATTAGCTATGTATGCCAAAGGCAAGAAAACATTACAATCCTTTAAAAAGTTCATGGAAAATGTCCATTACAAAAAACGTCATCCACGGATTTCAAGGTTCTTGCACCAAAATAAAGTTTTAAATGCTATCTACCAGGAGCTTTTTAAAGTATCCTGGTGGTTCTAATTATCCAAGTACATTTCTATCACCTTAAAATAGTTACCTCTTTTTAATGAACCTAAATACTGTAGGAAATTAGCATCACTTTTTTTAAAAAACAAAAACAATCTCCTGTGAATGTCCCCAAATTGTTAATACTACATAATTGGTGCAATTTCAACTGACCCTAACCCACATTACAGGTAAGGTTATCAAAAACAAAAAGGTTTTGTTGCCCACATTAGCACACCACCTGCCATGTGGAACCCACAAGAACCCTCAACCACTGCACTGGGATTCCAGCACAAAGACTACTTTTTTAAAACCTTAAGTCTCTGAATATAACCACAGCCAACAGAACAACAAATTACTCGGGGCCAAGATGTAGGTGAAGTTTACACTTCTGGTACTGGCCTCCCATATGGGTATCAGTCCAGGCCTGGCTGTTCCACTTCAATCCCAGTCCCTGTTCATGCACGTGGGAGAGAAATGAAAAATGGTCCAAGACCTAGTCCTGCACCCGTGTGGGAGGCCCAGAAGGTTCCTAGGTTCACAATGTGACAGCTCCACCCATTCCATCTAGCTGGGAAGTGAACTAGCAGATGCTAGCTCTCCCTCTCTCTGCCTGCCTTTCAAATAAAATGAATAAATAAGTCTTTTAAAAAAAAAAGCCTATTCCATAATAAAGTTCTATAAGCTTTGGGATTTCCCTTAGGTGTCCGCCTACCCCCATGTCATTACAATTATCTAGTTCTTCACAATCAGTCATAAGTCCATCATTCTGCTACTTAAGTATATCCTGACGCTGTAGGCATTGACAATGACAGAGTCCAGCATCCTACTGTCAAGATACATTCAGGGGCCCAGCACAGGAGCCTAGCAGTTTAAACCCTCACCTTTCACACATATCCCAGCAGCCCCACTTCCCATCCAGCTCCCTGCTGGGAAAGCAGTTAAGGATGCCTTTGGACCCTGCACACACAAGGGATACCAAGAAGAAGTTCCTGGCTCCTGGCTTCAGACTGGCTCAGCTCCGGCTGCTATGGCCACTTGGGGAGTGAACCAGCAGACAGAAGAGTTTTCTCTCAGTATTTCCTTCTCTCTGTAAATCAGACTTTCCAGTAAAAATAAATAAATCATAAACACACACACATACACACTCCAGAAAATAAAATTAGCTTTCTATGAATAGAAAAAGCCAACAGACTTGCACCAGGATCCCATATGGGTTCTGGCTTAATCCTGGTGGTCCTGCTTCCCATCCAGCTCCCTGTCTGTGGCCTGGGAAAGCAGCTGAGAACAGCCCTAAGCCTTGAGACCCTGCACCCGTGTGGGAGACCCAGAGGAGCCTCTTAGTTTCGGATTGGCTCAGCTCCAACCATTGGGGAATGAACCATCGGACGGAAAATCTTCCTCTCTATATGCCTTTCCAATAAAAATAAATAAATCTTAAAAAACAAATACTGCAGTAATTTTTCAGCTTGGGAAAAATATTAAAAGGCAATGTTATCATTTAAGACAATAATGAAATTACCAAATGACCAACTTCAAACATTAAGTCCATAGGCACAAGACTATCAGTCTATCTTCTTTCCTAATAACAACCAATGTATAAAACTCACAATAAAGCAAATCTTAGACGTGCACTGCAAAAGTGCTAGACTATAAGCTAGCAATCTTCCTTACTCAGAAAGAGTTAAAATACCCTCCGGAGACTGGCTTTTACTTGCTCATGGGCGAACCCTTCCAACCCCATACCTTACATTCCAAGACTAACAGGAAAGCAATATTGCAAAGGGAATAGGCAAATACATTGCACATAAAAATGGAAGTGATTGCCGCTTTATAAACTAGTCTATACACCGCGACTAGACAGCTACTTAGGACTGGCTGGACAGTATGCACTTACACTAAAAATCCAATACTCAAAACACAGCACACTACCAAAGCTGTAATTTCTGCACTGCTCGAATGTTGAAGAAACTGCCTATATCCTTAGTCCACACAAGACCATCTTAAAAAAACAAGCTAGGATAAAGTGTTCTCAAACTACAGGTAAATTCCAAGTAGCTAAATCGGAATCTTCAGTAGTTAGTTCTCTTTAATATCCTTCTACCATGGAAATTAAAATTCCCCTAACCACACAACAGATGTCTGTGTTTCTGTCCTATGTCAAAAACCAGTGAGTGCAGTGGGGCTATCTGATGTGTTCACTCTTCCAGTTAAACACATCTGAGGAGTGAAACAGCAGAAAGACCTGTCTCCTTCTCTAAATCTGGCTTTCTAATAAAAATAAACACACACAAATAAAGTCCGGTTAAAAGCACTGGGGAGCGCTCAACAATTCCAGTTATTTTCCCAATGAGCAATCCAGCTGATCTGCACAACTGTTTTGAGCTCGTCCTTTCTACATTCCCTACTACCACTAGTAATACACATTCCCAGAATTGTAACTTTCTTGTGCTCATAAGCTGAAGATAAGTCAATTGAGCCATTATGTCGGTCCTGACAAATCATTTCCTAAGTTTACTTAAATTCCAATTCTATTTAGCTGAAGCTTGCTAAACACAAACTTTAACACAGCAAATGAAAGTCAAAATGGCATTCCTCTTAAAGACAAGCAAAACTTGTCCTTTATTTTCAAGTTGATAGCATCAGCATTTTAAAATAGCCTAAAAAATGAAACGCATCAGCAGGCATTCGGCCTGGTATTCCAGATGCTCCAGGCCCACAGAAGACTGCCTGCACTCCCTTATCAGCTCTGCTTCTGGTTCTCCAGCACCCTGCTCATGCCAGTCCTGGGGGGCCAACAGTGATGGCACACCAGCTCCTGGCCCTGCCACTACTATCACGGACTGAGGCACTGGGTAGGAGCACTTCACTGTCTCCTGCCTCTCAAAAAATGTTATGTGGTCGCTTATGCAATTCTTTTACAAATTACTCTACAAACGATAAACGTGTTACACTGAAGGCTCAATGAGATTAATCTTTCATTCAAAAGTACGCCTCACATCATAAAAACACAAAATTTTAAAAAATTCAATAGTAATGGGCCCAGTGCGGTGGCGCAGTGGTTAAGGTCCTCGCCTTGCACGCCCGGGATCCCATATCAGCGCCGGTTCTGGTCCCGGCGGCCCCTCTTCCCATCCAGCTCTCCGCCTGTGGCCCAGGAAGGCAGTCCAAAGCTTTGGGACCCTGCACCCGCGTGGGAGACCCGGAAGAGTCTCCTGGCTTCGGATCAGCATAGCATCATCCGTTGCGCTCACTTGGGGAGTGAATCATCGGACGGAAGATCTTCCTCTCTGTCTCTCCTCTCTGTATATCCGCCTTTCCAATAAAAATAAAATAAATCTTTAAAAAAAAAATTCAATAGTACTGTAACATCAAAGGGAGTGATAAATATCTAATTTCAAAAATGACAGAAAATTAAGTCAACATTATGATGCAAGATATTTTTTCAGAATTAAATACCAAACAATTTACAGGAAAACTACATGAAAAAGACTTTTTCATATGGAAGAGGAAAAAGGTCAGGATATAAATGAAACAAAATTAATATTGGTAAAGAGAAGTTATAAATTTGTAAGTCACTCTGCTGCTGTTTCTGCAGAATTTGAAAAATTCTATACTTCAAAGAAAATGGGAACACTTGCCTCTTAGCACAGGATTTCCTAGGAGTGCAGCTACCTCAGCCAAGTTTTCATCTAGACCCAAGTACCTGAGTCACTGCCTGCTGCCTAACGTGCCCAAGTGGAACTGGGACGTGGTACCAGGCCCTCGGGTATGAGCACCCCAAGGGGCAGCCCAACAGCTGCTTTCTTCCTTTTTTGTTTCTGATTAACGATTTACTTTTCAGAGAAAGATTGTCCATCCTCTGGTTCCCTCCAACACTGCAACAGCCGGAGTTTTGCTGCTCCTGATCCTGATCTGAAACCAGGAGCCAGGAGCTTCTTCTGGGTCTCCCCGAACAGGTGCAGGGTCCAAGGCAATGGGCTTTCCCAGGCCACAGGCAGGGAGCTGGACAGGAAGCGGAGCAGCCGAGACACTATTGGGAATCCAAAAGGCATTGCCAGTGCTTCTAGGCTGAAGATTAGCCAACTGAATCATTATTTCAGCCCTGACAAATCATTTAACTTTACTTAAAATCAACAAGCATGAAATAAGATTTTCAAAAGCATGACCACCAAGCAAAATATCACTTTGTTTGCAAAATTTAATTGTAAGATGAAGACAAGAAAAAGTGGTTAAAGAAACTCAGTATGACAAATCAATGTTATATACCACAGTCTTGAAGAACCAGAATAACTTTAAGAAGGCTCCAAGAGTATATTCCCAAAGATTTCCCTTTGAGTTCATTACTAAATATGTGTGACATGAGCTATAAAATATTGTTTGCTCTCCCAAATTAAGTTACATTCCACCCACACATAATCTCCTAAAAGTAGCTCTTTCTAATATTTATCACTTCATTTTTATCATATTTAAATAATTCACTAGACTTAAACTACTAAAACCATATTTTACAGTATAAGTAACATTTAAGATACAACACCAAATAGGAAAAATATGGACCTTCTACTGAATAGTTTCCAAAAAACACATTAGAAAGTCACCTACCAAGTCCAAGGTTTACTTTGGACTATTCAATTCTGAATATGGATAATTTCAGCTTCTACTATCAAAGTTTCCTTAATTAGCGACACGGAACTACAGGCAGAGAAAGCAACCATTTGTTAAGATACTTACTTAAGAATGGTTTTTGCGCTACTGCAGTCTTCAAATCGAATGGAGTAACCAACTTCCTGACCCAACATCACGTCCATTTCATCAGCAACTCTCTGAGCCACACTCATTGCAGCCACTCTCCTGGGCTGAGTACAGGCAACTCCTCTCTTCGGGCCTGGTAATGAGCGCATGTACTCCACACACCACTGTGGAATCTATCAAAAAATTACACACTTAGGTCAGTTCTATGCTTACCTATAGATATACTTAACATAAAGCACTTTATATCATTTCAACAATTTAAGACGAAATTCCCATAACTATGCCCTTGCTAATGGCTGAACTGCAGCTGCTTAAGTGTGTGTGTGTAAGTATCAATACGAGATGTCCTCTTTACTACCGAAAGTTAAACTTCTTGGATTTTATTTGCAGGACTACATCTTCCAACAGGCATAAGTCGATAACAAAGTTAATCTAATGGCCTAGCCAGCAAGTAATGAAGGTATGCCAAAAAGCGCTTGGGCACAGAGGTTGAAAAACCACTTGGGACACTCTCATCCCATTTTAGTGTCCCACTCTCTCCAGGAGGCAGCAGGGAACTGCTCAAGTAGCTGGGTTCCTGTCAGCAACACGGGAAACTCAGAGTTTCTGGTTTCTGACTCTGACCAGGCCCAGTCCCGGGAATCAGGGAATTTAGGTTATCTTCCAACATATACCTCTCAAACTTAAAACAACAAAAAATTGGGATGAAATTAATATTAGCTGTCTTACTTCCCTTCAAACTCCCAAGTGTCACATAATTCTACATATCAAGACTCCAAATCATTACAAACTCACCATTTTGTGTAATCAGTTCTGCCTCTACTTTCACTGCTAATAAATTCATCTCTGAAATAAGGCTGATCACATAAGGACCAGAATTTTAGAAGCTGAGTCCATTTTAACTGATACAACTACGTACACTTGATTTTAGCCACAAGAGAAGCAATGATACAACTATGTAAATCAGTGTAACCCATTTCTCCTTATTATGCTCATCTGTGGTTAATCATTTATTGCAGGGCTAAAGTAACAGTAAAAATTATATATGTAAAGTATTCAGAACCTACCTTCATCCAACTGCTTCTCAAAGGAGTACTCAAAAGTGATGATTTTTAACTATTAACATATTCATGTTCCCTCTCACATATTTCTTTTAGTTTCTAAATTCTCAATACAGTGATTTTTAAAAACCCTCAGCAATTCTTTTCCTAAATTCTGTAGGACAAGTGACTGGATCTCCTAATTTACAGGAGAGATAACCTCCAGGCAAAACATTAAGCAGCTGCCTGCAACACCTGCATACCCTTCAGGGCTGGGAAAGTATCACTCTGCCATATTGAAGGTTAAAAAAAAAGGAACAACAGGCCTGTTCTCTCCTACAATTTGCCAAGACAGACACTCCTTACAGGATTCGTTGACTTTGAAAGTCACGAAAATAAGTGCTCAAAATCAAATCGACTATTCTTCAAGCTGTTCTATAAGACAGACAAAGGGAATGACCAGTAGAATTAAATAAGCAACACTTGGTAAACTTGAGCATTAATAAAATACGTGCCATGGCATACATTAACTCACCTGTGTTGTCTTACCAGAGCCAGTCTCACCAACCAGTACAAATGACTGATGTCTAACCAAAATATCTGTGAATCTATCCTTGTATTCCCAAACAGGGAGCTGTAGCCTTTTCTTTAAAATATCGTAGTACCGAGGCGTATGGGGCAGGTTGGTGAACGGATTGATGCACTGGGGGAGTGACGTGTGCCCGGCATGCCCAGTGTGTGCCGAATGAGCCGAATGAGCCGAATGTGCCGAGTGGGCCGAGTGGGCCGAGTGGGACGCTTTTAGCGGCGGCAGTCCCGCGCTGAGCAGCATAGCATTCGTGGAGGCCCGCAATTCCTTCTCCTTCTCCTTCTCCCGCTCCCGCTCCCTATCTCCTCTATCTCGTTCTCGGTCTCGATCTTTGGACCGATCTTCACGATCCCGATCCCGATCTCGATCCTTCCTAAACATAAAAATTCACAGTTCAGAATCTGAATTTTACATAAAATACTCAAGGCAGCATCAGAGCCATAAAGAGTGTTAAGCATGCCATTACCAAATGAATAAAGATAAAATCCAGTGGATTACCCAACTACCACAAATAATGATCCACCACAAACAGCTTTTGCTTCCTTCATTGCTCCCCACCCCCACCGAAAAGGCAGATATGCAGAGAGGAGGTGTGACAGAGAGGAAGACCTTCTGGCCGATGATTCACTCTCCAAGTGAACACAAAGACAGGTGCTACGCTGATCCAGTGCCAGGAGCCATGAACCTCCTCCAGGTCTCCCATTCAGGTGCAGGGCCCCAAGGCTTTGGGCCATCCTCCACTGCTTTCTCAGTCAGGCCACAAGCAGGGAGCTGGATGGGAAGTGGAGCCACCGGGATTAAACCGGTGCCCATATGGGACCCCGGTGAGTTCAAGGTGAGGACTTTAGCCGCTAGGCTACTGCACCGGGGCCAGATGCGTCTCTTTGTTTCTGTACATTTTAACATAGGGTAACACAGGAATACAAATAAATCCCCATTGAGTCGCTAAATGAAAAACCTGGTCAGTAAACACGTACTACTTACAAGAAAAATCAATAAGAACTTTCATTCCGGGAATGGCACAACGGGCTAAACCTCCACTTGGGGATGCCTGTATCCCATACCCATGTTTTTATCAATTCCCATCTTTGCCTTCTGACCCAGCTTCCTGCCAATGCATCCTGGAAGGCCGAGGACGAGTCCCTGCCAGGCCCTGCCTAGGAGGCTGTATCCGAAAAATGAATCAGCAGATGAAGAGATCTTCTCTCAAATCAGTAAAAACGAACATGTTAAAAGCTTATTCCTTTACATTTTAGTCTTAAAAAAATAAAACACGGAAAATAACCTGTAAACCTATGTAGCATACTCAACCATGAAACAGTCAAGTCACAAGTAAGCGTCACTAAATTCTGGAATCTATTTCTAGTTGTTAGAGATGGTTCCTAACACAAAAATAAATTTAACATCATCTATGGTAGGTAACCAAATAGGCGTCCCTGCCTGCCACGGAGTTGCTCCTAAGAGACCACTGAAGGGCTGCTGGTGGGAGCAAAGTAATTATACATACTCACCCCAGCAACCCAGCTTACTCTAGAGCAAATGAGGTGGCAGCCCGGCGTTTGCATCACACTTGAAACAGTGAGGCAACATGGAGCTCCATCAGCCCTTAAGTGCGTCATAATTCCCCACCCGTAACACACAAAAGAACACACTGCTTATATCCCAAATACACAGCAGAGCAGGACAGAGTACTAATCTCTGCAATATGTGTCAGCTGGGCAATAATACGTCCTCTTAGAATACAGGTAACAAACTAAATTCAGCACCGAGTTAAGACAGTTCCCACAGAAGTGCTCCTTCTATCCCAATATTCACCTTCCACAGAATTAGAGTGCTACAATTCTCTGAACGTATTTGACCAAAAAAGGTATCAGTAATAGTTAAAATTTTAAAAAAGCCAAACAACACCAAACACAATGAAAAGTCAAGCAATTAAAACTTTAGTTCAGCTCTATCTTTAGAATATACCATCAACTATCCTCTCTCTTCTCTCATCCTGCGCCTGGTATAAGGTGTTCAATAATTAAATAAGGGTTTAACTGCCCCAAAATGCAAATGGGAAATAGTTTCTAACAAGGCACACAGAAATATGCCCAGCATGAGAATCATTTCAGTTGCAAATGGTTCCAAGACAGGACATCTTAAAGACCACCGAACACAGAGCTAAAAAAAAGAACCCCCAAAGAACATCAGCTCTTTTTTAAAAAGGATTTTGTTTGAGCAGTCCCTGATGGGGGAAACAGTTCACTTCTGAAAACTTGGGGTATTAAAATGCCTCTTGGGACGGCAGGCATCCAGTCTAAGGGTGTTCAGGCTTTCTGCCAATACATACTCTGGAAGCAGCAGACCAAAGAGTGGGGTCCCAGCCACCCACAGGGGAGACCCTCAGGCATCTGGGGAGTAAACCAGAGGGCAGGAGATCTCTGTCTCTCCCTCTCACAAAAAAAATAAATAAATAAAAATAAAGAACACATTTAGGAAACTGAAGAACAAATAAGCCACATATATTGCTTGGCTGAAGTACCATCTATACTAACAAAGGTGTGCAAACGGTTTTCACTTCACCAGCTTTACCAACCAGACTACAACCAGGATGCACGGGATGCATTCTAAAGACAAAGATTAGAACCAGTACTGTGCAGCAGTCGTGGAAGAGATGCCTGCAACACTAGAATCCCCCATGAGAGTGGATTTCAAGTCCTGCCGTTCCACTTGCAATCCAACTACCTGCTAATGCTCCTGGGAAAATGACAGATGCAGGCTCAAGAGCCTGGGCCCCTGCCACCCACACGGAGACCTGGATGGCATTCCCAGCTCGTGCTTTGGCCTGCCCCCACGCTGTCACTGCAGTCATTTGGGGAGTAAGCCAATGGATGGAAGTCCTCTTCTAAAAGCATCTTCGATAAATAAAACATAGTGGGATCACAGCTATATAACCACAGGTAAGGTAGAAACTTCCAGCTACAAAATGAAAGCAATAAAACAGTTTCCTGAATTAAAACAAAGCAACAGGGATCAGTGAGTTGAGCCACAGCCTGGGATGTCTGCATCCCAGAGTGGCTGGCTTAAGTCCCTACTATTCCGCAGTTTCAGTCTCGTTTTGGCTCCTGGCTTCAACCTAGCCCATCTATAGTCCCAGTTTTTGAGAGCATTCAGGGCATGAACCCTAAACCAAAGATCTCTCTCTCTCTAGTACTCCCTATCTTTCAAATAAATAAAATACCCTTTTTTCCAGAGTCACCAGGAAGAAAGTAAAGGACAAATTTAATCACCTAAAGTGTTATCTCTGGTTCAAACTGTCCAGACCCTCAATAGGGGTAGGAAGAATAAAAATGAGAATCCAAAACTTTAGCTGTGTAAGTGTACATAACTTGCTATCCATGTGCTTCATTTTTTCTTAAAAGAAATCGTTTTTGGACAAAGAATCATAGTAAACATCTACTAATTCAGATGTTTTAAAAATTCTCAAAACAGTGATTTATAATTAGTCACGACACTACACAGACAATGGCAGTTGCTGAGCTAGCCTCTCTGTTACTGCCACGTGCCAGCTCAACCTTGCTTTGGCATTTAAATTATGTTTGTGATACATCATCCTTCCTTGTGTACAAAATGTGAGTACTGGAATCTTTAGAAGTAGCAAAAGATTAACTGATTTAATGTATGTAATGTGCTTGGATGGTTAGCACGTTGAAAATGTCCAATAAATACTGGTTATCACTGTTTGCTTCTCAATTACAATATATTAAAATTCTATTTGGAGTAACAGCTATTAAAGCACAGTAAACTGGCAAGTAAAGTCAGAATATTTCACATCACTTTTTCTATGGTAGTCTTAGTTCACCCCAGGCACCGTGGCATGACAGGTAAAGCTATTGTTTATAGCACCAGTACCCCTATGGACGCTGGTTCAAGTCCCAGCTGTTCTATTTCCAATCCAGCTTTCTGCCAGTGTGTCTGGGGAGGCTGCGGAAGATGGCCCCAAATCTTCGGGCCCTCGCACCCACTTGGCAGATCCAGGAAGCTCCTGGCTCTGGACTGCCCCAGTTACACCCACTGCAGCATTTGGGTGGAAGATCTCTCTCTCTCTAACCCTGCCTTTCAAGTAAACAAATGAATCTTTAAAGTTTATAAAAACCCCATAATTAATTATATTATGTATGGAAATGTACACACATTGACATTCATCATATTCAGTTCTCATTTATAAATTAATGACACCTAAAAATTGTGTAAATACCAATGATAACAAGTTCCAATACACTTTTTGACTGGATTACTACGCAGTCAATGAATAGGATGTATTTAAATGTGCATGAAAAATAAAACTGGCTAAGTATAAAACTTCAAATCCACCCAGTTTCACTGACACGTGATTTCCATGTACTTTCTCTAGCACCTTTGCAATCTAGTTAATATTTCTGAGTGGGAAAAAAAAAAAGAGCATAGAATAACACCTTTAAAAAGATCCTGAGGGGGCCCAGTGCAGTGGCCTAGCGGCTAAAGTCCTCACCTTGAACGTGCCAGGATCCCATATGGGTGCTGGTTCTAATCCTGGTGGCTCCACTTCCCTTCCAGCTCCCTGCTTGTGGCCTGGGAAAACAGTCGAGGACGGCCAAAAGCTTTGAGACCCTGCACCCGTGTGGGAGACCCGGAAGAAGTTCCTGGCTCCTGGCACTGGATCAGCGCAGCACTGGCCACTGCGCTCACTTGGGGAGTGAATCATCGGATGGAAGATCTTCCTCTCTGTCTCTTCTCTCTATATATCTGACTTTCCAATAAATAAATAAATCTTAAAAAAAAAAAAAAAAGATCCTGAGGGCCTGGCACAGTAGCCTAGTGTCTAAAGTTGTTGGCCTTGCAAGCACCAGGCTCCCATTTGTGTGCTGGCTCGTATCCAGGATGCTCCACTTCCCATCCAGCTTCCTGCCTATGGCCTGGGAAAGCAATGAAGACAGCACAAAGCCTTGGGACCCTGCACCCATGTGGGAAACCCAGAAGAAACTCCTGGCTTTGGAACAGCTTAGCTCTGGCTGTTGTGGCCACTTGGGGAGTGAATCACTGGATGGAAGATCTTTCTCTCTGTATTTCCGCCTTTACAATAAATATTAATAAATCTTTAAAAAGATCCTGATATTAAACACAGTTCATATTTTCAACTAAAATGCAAGAGATCATTTCATCAAATGTTCAGAGAAATTAAAACATATATCTCTGTGTATGCACATTTCTTGCAATCCTGGAGCAAAGTGCTAAAAGTCAATCTAACAGAGAACTAATGTAATGAAAATGTGTTTATATATAAACTTGGGTTCTTAAAAAAAAAAACTCATGCAAAGCACACATTACCAAAAAACATGTGATCAACTTTTTTCCAACTAAACTGTTATGTCTACATCTAAAGATCTATTTTGAAGAATTAAGGATAAGACACCATTTTTAAAAGCCCACCCTATCAAGAGTAACATGAACAAATACTACTAAAATTGAAGAACCAACATTAAATTGATGGCAAGCCTGGTGGAAAGGTGAAATGAATGCTTTATGAAGTTGATTGGAACAAAGAAATCAAGAATTTACAAAGGGACAGTTCATTCTAATAACAATCTACTGAACACAATACTAGACCATTCACATGAATGCACAAGACAATAATTAATCTTGCTCATGCTCTAACATAAGAGGATCAATAATTAAAAGTCAATACCAGACTACATGTAGTTCATTTAACACAATGCTTTAACTGAAAAGTAGAGACAGTGAGTGGCAAGTGCTCTCTCTCACACTGGTTCCCTCCCTGGATGCCAGCAAGGGGACAAGGCCAGGCAGAGCCAGGAGGGAGAACATCTAAGTGTGGGCGCTACCAGGACCCGGGCCAGCACCTGTGGCATTAGCAGGATGGCGGGCTGATGGAGGATGAGGACAGCCCTAGCGATGGCCAGAACACCAGCGCCAAAGGACAAGCAGACTGCTCTCCTGGAGCATTCCTTTAAATCACCAGTACAACCCGGGAAACAAAGCACAATCAAAACAATGACTACTAAGAGGTCAAAACCAAGCAGCCTAAACTGTATGAACAGAGACGGCTCTTTTCTGAAGACGGCTCTTTTCACCCACATCCAGGTGAAAAAAACAGACAAGGCCAAAATATGTAACAAAAATCTACAACGTCTCCAAGAACGAGGAAACAATCACACAGGTGTGCAGGACCAGCTCCCTCTCTCAAATGCCAAGCATGTATCAGGGATCGGACCCCCCCCCCCCAGTCATTCTATTCCAACCTGATCTGACAGCCATCAACAACATGGTAGCCAGAAGACCTGCAATCTATCTCTGCTTCACAAGATCAAGAATCATGTGTGCTCCACTTTGCCAACTCACTGAACCCGCCATTACAACAGGCTGTAGTGACCGACTACAGCATTAGGCCGCCAACTTCAAGGGAAAAGCAGTGTTCCAGACCTGGCTGTAAACTTGCACCAGCCGCCTTAACTCTGATCTCCACTTTCCCTCCCTTGAGTCAAACTCATTCTACTCTTCAAAGGGACTTCCAGTTTCTCGGTGTCTAGGACACACAGCTCAGCGAGTTTTGGCTTGCATGGTTGTTTACCTGCAGAACAGAAGCTAAAAAGAGGCTGTTCTATAGCGTTACCACATTGTACGACATAGTATAAACCTAAAAACCTTACAAGGGCCCAGCCAGCTAAAGTCCTCACCTTGAACGCACCAGGATCCCATACGGGCACTGGTTCTAATCCTGGTGGCTCCACTTCCCTTCCAGCTCCCTGCTTGTGGCCTGGGAAGGCAGTCGAGGATGGCCCAAAGCTTTGGGACCCTGCACCCACGTGGGCTATCTGGAAGAAGATTCCTGGATCCTGGCTTTGGATCGGCATAGCATCGGCCATTGCGCTCACTTGCAGAGTGGATCATTGGACGGAAGATCTTCCTCTCTGTCTCTCCTCCTCTCTGTATATCTGACTTTCCAATAAATAAGTAAATCTTAAAAAAAAAAAAAAACCTTCAAAATTATGACACACCCTAATCCCCATATTTAATCATTCAATATACAAAAAAGCATGAAAATAAATTCTATCCTGACAATACACTGCCACTAACTAGATGGCTGGAAATTAACCCAAATGAAGTATGGGTAAATAAAATTCCAGGATTCTTCCCACACTCACACAAAAAAATCAAGCAAAATATCAACAGCAGGATTTTGTGCGGTTTTTGTTTGTTTTTTGGTCTGTATTCCCCCCCAAAATATCTCTGTACTTTAGTAACACAAAACATATCCCGCACTGGGAAGTAATTTTGATGCAACTACTTGCATACTAAATCCCTCCCTAACTTTAACGAACGTCTAAGAGAACAGGAAAAAAATCAGCGAAGACGAGAAGTATGTTCTAAGTATTTTAACTCTGAGCTGCCCATGCACATCGCTTTGCCATAAGAAAAACTAACAATGTGCTGTGCAAAGGGCTCCCAGGCTGGAAAAGCTACTCTGAGGGAGAATGGGAAGCAGATCTGAGACTGAAAAATGCATGAATAACGCATGTTTTCCAACTCCCAGCCCACCAGGATGCCCAGGAAGTGGTTCTAAGCCAAGAAAGAGAAATAAAGGCGATGGCGGGAGCGTGGGCAGAGAGCGGAAGTTTGCTTGGTCTCCACTCTGAATGGACCGGGCTCGCTCTCCCGCGCCAAACTACAAACTCGGCCGCCTCCCGGCCTGCTCTGGGCGACTCCACGTTTTCCTTTCTCCCGACAGGGCCTCGCGTCTCCCTTCCCCCGAGGACGCCTGGCTGGTTCGCCGCGCTCAACACTCGCCACCCCCCCAGCCTCCTACCCCAGCACCCCGCGGCTTTCTTCACTTTCCGCGCTCCCCCGATCGCGCTCCCGCCCGGGTCCTCTGCGCCCACGAGCACCCGGTGCCCTTGGAAGCGCACCCGCGCGCGCCTCGCCGCGCCCTCCCTCGGCGCAGGGCCTCGCTCGGGGATCCAGGCCACGAGGTCCCGGGATGGCTCCCCGCTCCCCAGGGACTCCCACCCGGGTCGGCCTGCGGGACCAGGCGCCCGCGCGACCCCCACGGGCCCCTCCGTCCTCCCGACCCGGCCGCAGACATACCCCCTTCCCCATCCCCCCGCGCCCTTGCTGCGCCCAACGGGCGCCGCTCGGCCCACGACCCGCCACTGGTGAACCGAGCGGCGAGGAAAACAAAGGCTCGGGTTCCGGGGCTCCCTTCGGCCAGGCTGGCCTGGGCCGGCTCCCCGCCAGGCCCCCCAACAAAGCCCAAGCCGCTGCCTCGCGCCCCGGGCCTGGCTTACCCATCGGTCCCCGCACGCTTCTTGCCGGAGGGGTAATCCTCCCCCAAGTCCAACCGGTGGCGCTTGGACATCTTCGCACTCTTGAAGCGGGCGGTTACAAAAGCAGAGAAAGAAGAGGAGCTGGCGGCTGTTTCCGCGCAGTCGAGGACGGTGCCTTAACTCTGGAGGACCCCCCACCCCTCCCGCTACAACAGCCCACACCGTGCGGCCGGAACCGGGAGCTAAAATGGCGGCGGCGACGAGGGCTGGGCCTGCGCGCGCGCTCCCGCAGCGTGCGTCCCGTGCGTGCGAGCGTGGTGCGCGCGCACGCCGCCAGAGGCGGGAACCCGGAGCGCGCGGCGCGGGCCGTACCTCCCCGTCCCTGGGCGCTGAGCTTCTTCCCTGGTTGTTGCGCGGGACCGTGCGCGCTTGCAGCGAGGTGTTGAGTTATGACTCTGGTATTTACACTCGGCTTCAAAGTCGCCTTGCCCCTCTGACGCGGGAAATGCAGAAAGTCCAGGCCCAGGTAGGAAATCCTGTGTATCCGTGGCTTAAGGGCCCAGCCAAGTTGAGAGACACATGATGCCACACATGGAATGACTGTTGTGTAACTCGAGATCCAGAACGTGTGTCATAGGTGGGCCCGACGGGGTGGCCTAGCAGCTGAAGTTCTTGCCTTGCATGCGCTAGCATCCCATATGGGCACCGGTTCTAATCCCGGCAGCCCCACTTCCCATCCAGCTCTCATCCAACTTGTGGCCTGTGAAAGCAGTCGAGGACAGCCCAAACCTTTGAGACCCTGCACTTGCGTAGGAGACCTGGAAGAAGCTTCTGGCTCCTGGCTTCGGATGGGCTCAGCTGCGGCCATTGAAGTCACGTGGGGAGTGAACCAGCAGATGGAAGATCTTCCTTTCTGTTTCCCCTCCTTTCTGTATATCTGACTTTCCAATGAAAATAAAATAATTCTTAAAAAAAAATCAGTTACAGATGTTACCGGAACATTGGACAAAAGATTGGCAGTAAAGGCACAATCTCTTTTATTTTCCCGTGTACATGGTTTGAGTTCCACGCTGTTAACCTTAGCGCTGTCATTCTTGCAGGGACTAGGTAGGTGGGTGTCATAGGTGTGGAAACTGAGGCTGAGACAGGCTAAGACATTACACAGCCATTAGGGCTGTGTCTAATGGACAGGACAAGATGAGCCCTGTGACCTGTATGGTTAACTCACCCAAGATCCTGCTTGCTGGTTTACATTCTCTCTCACAAGAAATGCAAGAGAAAAAGATCTTTGGACCAACCCAAGGAAGATCATACGGTTTGTGATGATTTTGAAGATTTGTTGCATTTATTTGTAAGGCAAAGTTAAAGAGAGAGAGAGGTCTTCTCTCCACTGGTTCACTCACCAGATGGCCACAACAGGAGGAACTGGACCAAGCCAAGAGCTAAGTGCTTACCCAGCTCTCGCACAGAGCTCGGAAATGGGTCAGAGGAAGCAGAACCGCATTGCAGGGAGCAGCTTAACCCCCTGTGCCGCAGCACTGTCCTCCCACATGCTGGTTTTCATGATATTCTCAGAATTGCAGTGTTGCAACTAAATACTCCTTTAATGTTGCCACTGACAAAGATGATTTTTATTTTTGTACCAAATCCTCATTCCAAAGTTAACACAAAGTATATTTTTTTCGTTTATAAAATAGCACAAGTTCCTATGCCAATGAAAACCCTGGAAAGTAAAAACCATGAATGTGGGAGACGATAGAACTCATCCCCAGAGCGGATGTCCCCCTCAGCCTTCTGCCTGTTTCCAGAGAATGTTCTATTTTCTTCTCTTGTTCTTTGGCAATTAGACAACACTCTGGCCTGTTACTGTACAGACTTAATCACCTAGAGATAACACCCAGTGCAACTGACCAGCTACAGATCCTGAGCCAGCGGTGGCCCATCCTGAATTAAAAAGGAATGATACTATTTAATGCATGTAAAGCACCCACTGTGAGCCAGACACCATCAGTGTCGCATTTTGGCCCATGTGAAGCTTATAGCCACCATGAGCTAGGTGCCATGGGTTACACTCACCTGCAAGAGAGAAAGCTGATGGGCGAAGAAGAGCCGACCTATTGCAGCTAAGATGGCAGTTCTGCGGGGTTGTGCGCTCAACTGCTGTGTTATGTTGCTGCTGATAAACAGGCGTTCTCACTGCACGTGATTCTCCTGGGGTTTACCACTGACATGAGGACTCGCATCTGACAAATCCGACTTTGTACATTGTCAACTAAAGCGCTGTTGCACAGCCCTCTCAAAGGGCTATTCGAGATTTTGAAGATCTGAATCCTAACCCTAGAGCCCACCGCTAACCCCCACCTTGTATCACTATTGCCCATCACTTAATTACTGAATTTATTAATTCATTCAACAAATATTTAAGTATAGACATTGATTTCAGAACTGGAGAAAGAGGGACAAACACAATAGCCATATTTCCTATCTTTGTGAAATTTGCCAAAGGGAGAGAGAGAGATGGGCATTCAATAGCTACGCTCATATGTAACTGTGTTGTCCAGCTGCAAGGACAGGCCGGGCTCTGAGAATGTGTAACAAGTGGCCTTGATTCAGGCTCGGGGAAAGAGAGGGCCTCTGCAAGGAAACATCTAGACAAAGAGAAAAAATGCAGGTATGTTAGCCAAGCAAAGAGGGAGAGAAGCGTTTCAGGCAGAGTAAAACAATCTGCAAAGGCCCTGGAACCTAGAGTCAGCTGCATTTCACGGACACACATGTGAAAGGTGTGACCCTGCTGCTACACAAACTTCATGGAAATGCAAATTGTGAAAAAGACTGATCAGATTTCAAAATCTTGTGCACCAAAACAAACTTTTTTGCTAATTCTGCTCTTGTAGTTCCCTCACATCAAAAGGGACCATGACACCCTCCAGAGAAGCTAAGACTTTATCCTTGGCAAAGCAATAAAGAGGAAAAGCAGGGGTCGATGTTGGGCAGAGCTGACACTGGCACCCATTTTAGGTACCAGTTAGAGTCCGGCTGCTCCTTTTATCCAACTCTCTGTAAACAGCCTGGGGGAAGCAGCTGGAGACAGCCCAGTTCCTGGACAGCTGCCTCCACCTTACAGACCTGAATGAGTTTCCTGACTCCTAAGGCAACCAGTTGATGGATAATATCTTTCAAAGTGTGTCGCTCTGTGTAACTCTTTCAAATAAAGAAATCTTTTAAAAAGGAAAATAAAAGAAAGGAAGATAAAGGAAAGAAAAGAAGGAAAACAATAAAGTCACTGGTGAGGTTATTGCTGTGATTAATTTGCCAATCTTCCTCTTTGAGTTCTCTCTAGCTAAAAATGCACTCTAGAAAGAATCATCAGTACTACTTTTGATTGTTTTATCCCCTCTCTGCTACATTGAAGAGCTCGACATAGTTACAAAATACTTTGGGTGCTATGATTGGCCATCAAAATCATACTTCCAAAGTGAGACTCCCTCAGGCGCTGGGAAAGCTGCCTGGAAACATCCTCAAGGCAACCCTCGGGAAGAGCCATCATAAAGCACAGCTGCCCGCCAACAGGATGGGAGTTAGGGATGCAGTGCCCTGGCCCTCACCACTCATGTTTGAAACTACTCCCTCCACATGTCCCGGGAGAAAGACACAAACCCAATAACTTAAGCATCACCACTGCTTCCCAGGATCTGCATCTATCTGAAGCTGGAACGAGGAGCCAGATCTTGGAATTGAATCTTGTAGGATATGGACACTTTAACCACCAACTAAGTGTCTGCCCTGATCTTCTTTCCCTTTTTTGTTCCTTTTTTTTTTTGTTTGTTTCTACTGATCTTTGTTGGTGAGATATGTCTCCTAAAGGCAGCAAAAACATGAATTGATGGGTTTTGCTTTTTTAATCCAGTCTAGGAATCTATGTTTGATTAATGAGTTTAAGCCATTTACATTCAGGGTTAGTATTTTTTTTTTTTATTGGAAAGTCAGATATACAGATAGAAGGATAGACAGATAGGAAGATCTTTTGTCCATTGATTCACTCCCCAGTCTGATCCAAAGCCGGGAGCCAGGAGCCTCTTCCAGGTCTCCCATCTGGGTGCAGGGTCCCAGGGCTTTGGGCCATCCTCCTCTGCTTTCCCAGGGCACAAGCAGGGAGCTGGATGGAAAACGGGCTACTGAGATTAGAACCGTCACACATGCTGGTGCTTGCAAGGTGAGGACTTTAGCCACTAGGCTACCATGCCGGGCCTATATAGTCATAGTTAATATGAATGGTTGTAATTTGGTTCTGTCATTTTAGCAATGGGTTGTTCATTGATTTAGTCTTCTGTTGTTATTTTACTGGCATGTTCTTTACATTTTCCTTTGGTGGATGATATCCTTTTTCTCTGTCAACAGAGCATCTTTAAGTATCATTTGTAGGGCAGGTTTGGAAGAAGCATATTCTTTTAACGTTTCTTCCAAAATTCTTTGGAAGAATTTTGTTTCATTTACAAAGACAAAGGAAAGTTTTGCTGGGTATTTTATCTTGGGCCAACAATTTTTTGCTTTTAGAATCTGGAATATGTTGCTCCATTATTTTCTGGCCAGTAGAGCTTCCTGTGAAAGCTCTGCTGAGAGTTTAATTTACATTCCTCTGTATGCTAATTGATTTTTTTCATGTGCACATTTGAGGATTTTTTCCCTGTATTCAATTGAAGAGCTTGATTACCATCTGTTGTGGTAAAGATCACATTTGGTCAGCCCTGTTGGGAGTTCTGTTGCCCCTCCTGGATGTTGTTTCCCAATTCTTTCTCTAGATTAGGAAAATTTCCCCTTATTATTTTATTGAATACATTTTTAAACCCAGCTTCTCTTTCTGCACCTTCTAGGGTTCCCATAACACTTTTTTTTTTTTAAGATTTACTTATTTTTATTACAAAGTCAGATATACAGAGAGGAGGAGAAACAGAGAGGAAGATCTTCCATCCGATGATTCACTCCGCAAGTACCCGCAACAGCCAGTGCCTTGCTGATCCAAAGCCAGGAGCCAGGAAAATTCTCCAGGTCTCCCACACGGGTGCAGGGTTCCAAGGCTTTGGGTCATCCTCGACTGCTTTCCCAGGCCACAAGCAGGGAGCTGGAAGGGAAGTGGAGCTGCCAGGCTTAGAACTGGCATCCATATGGGATCCAGGTGCGTTCAAGGTGAGGATTTTTTGCCACTACGCCACTGCACTGGGCCCAGATTCCCATAACTCTTACATTTGGCCTTTTAATAGTGTCTT